CCCCAAAACCCCAAAACCCCAAAACCCCTTATTACTCAATTAATGATTATTTACGCATGTAAATTTTGTAGAATAAATAAATATTTTCCAATATATTTCCTTAAAATTTGATTCTATTGTGAGATTGAAATTATAAATAATCAATCAGCATATTAGTGCGATTATTTTCCTATCATATTTTAAATGGATTAAGTGTTCTCCAGTAATCTGGTATATCATAATTCTACCAATATTAAGCACTGCCATTGCATATTTTATTTGTTTATAATAATCCTGTTTTCCTTAATTAAGGAACAATAACTTGCTTTCGATTATTTTTATCACTTAAATTAGCAGCCCACCATGAAATACTATCAAATGTAAATATAAAGTGATCAAATTTCTCAACCAATAATAATAGCCTCTCTACTTCTGAAAGTTCTTATTCTATCACCTATACTTTTGCTGTGTGATAAAATATCTATTTAGCCCAGCTAACATCATCTGTAAACACATAATAGATTGGATATGATTTGCTCAATCTTTTCTCAATATCAGCTATTTATTGCATCGCATCCATTTGAAATTTGATTGGTATTTTCCTTCCTTGCATAGTTTTATCGTGTCTTTACAAATAAACAGCCACATTTGTTGATTTTTATTATATGGACTTTGATAGGTTTTAATACTACTCTGAAAAGTTATAGTTTTAATTTGGTTTTACCATTTCTTTTAATTCCCTAATCAAGAAGTTGGAGTTTGACAATAGATTTTTATTAACACTCAAATCAATCATCACATTGGCTGGAAAATAAATATCTGTGTTTTTAATATCTTAACTTTAATTATAGCTTTCCCAAATTTTGATAATACTTTTATCATACAGTATTTAATTTTCGAATAATTGACTCATTATAAGTTAATCATATTTGATTTGTGTTTTACTAAGCAATTCTACTAAAATTTTGCTTTCATCTTGGTAATCAACAATATGAATCAAGTGATTCTGAGTTTATCTTGAGATTGATAATGCTTATGCAATCCTGAATAGAAATTAGCTTATTGATGAGTATTAGTGTTTTATTCCATCAACATATATAATCCTCTGTATATTTTCAGAGCAAAAATTATCTTCTAGTTTTTAATCCTATCTATTTGAGTTAAGACATTTTAAGTTCTATGATTTAACACTTTAGTACTTCAAATCTAAGTTTAATATGATAATGAGCATTATCAAATAAAGAAATGAATAATTTTAGCAAGTTTTCATCATTATATTAAAAATTATAATTTAATTTTGAAATATTGCTACTTTCCTATAATCACTCATTAATATTCCTCGGGGTTTTGGGGTTTTGGGGTTTTG